TAGTTAACTGTCACGTGCAAAGGCACATTTACTACTTTTATCGCTTATATGCATTTCTCTTTCAATAAGATAAAATTAAATTTAGGCGTTCCCATGTGTGTCCGAGTTGGACCTCTTTATAGCTCCTAGATTCATCCCTCACCCACTCCCCGTAAATGCTGATGTCTTGCGCACGTGGATGTTTCTATGATACTGAACTTCACCTCTCCGTCTTTTTATGTATGATAAGAAAGCAACTGGTTGATTCATTAAAGTCAGAAAAACAGTATGATCCAGAAAATTATTTTGCCTCATTTGTACCAAACAATAGTATCATTGCTTAAGGTTGTTTTTCTGTTTCGTTTTGTTTTTAAAATTTCAGATGATTGTTATGGCTTCATGCAGACAATACTTTAGTTCATGGAGATTCTAACACATTCAGTACTTGCACATTATTTAACCTCCAAATTCTATGATTTTGAAATCTTCCAGGGAGTAATTGCTAAAAACGCTGAATTATTGTTTATTTGGAGCCCGCCAGATGGAAGTACATTCAACAGTCACCTGGAATCAGGGGTTCCCTTCCTGAATAATCTGCCAGCCGAGTTCCTACATGTAGGACCTTCAACATTAATCTGAAAGCACTCTAAAAGAGAGTCGTAACATAGATTTTGGCTCTTTATTTGTCTTTGGCTTTCTTTGTAAGGAGTCCTTTTCAAGAATGATGGAACCAGAAGTAGTTGTAACAGAAGATAGCTTCTCGCGGAGAGAAAGCTCAGTTTAGACATTTCACTTCCTTAACTTTGCTTTCCAACCTTCTATCGAAAGCATCTATGGGGCTGATAAAGCATCTGGAGAGTAAGCTGTGAAAAGCCGTCCGCCTTAGATAGCTGAGAGCAACAGTTGGTCAGAGGGGGCCTCTTTTCCTCTATGTTGTAGCTCAGCTGAGGAGTTTGTTTTTTTTAAAGATTTTATTGCGGAATTGGGAAAGGAGAACAGCCAAGTTGTTGTCCTTCAATCTTAGTTGTGGAGGGTGCAGCTAGCTCAGCTCCAAGTCCAGTCACCATCCGGCTGCCTGTCTGCAGCTCTCAGCCACGCAGCTCAAGGTGCCGTGTTCAATCTCAGTTGTGGGTGGGTGTAGCCCACCATCCCATACAGGAGCCGAACCGGAAACCTTGTTGTTAGGAGCACGTGCTCTCACCAGCTTAGCCATCCTGCCACCTATTGGCAGCTCACCAGCAAGGAGCTTGCTTTTTGAACTTGGCAACCTAGCTTCTCCAACCATGCAGCCCTCGCGATACTCAGGACATATAGGACAGCCAGCACGTGAGTTCGTGACTTTCTCATGGAACAAACCTGCAGAGTTCACTTTGCAAAACATCCAACCGTTAGTGTGTGGAACACACCTCCAGAAATGAGGCCGCAGTCCCAGGGGCCACGGGGCGGCTCAGGCATCTTCCCTCTGTTATGGGGCTTATAGTGCAGACAGGCCAGCTTTCACAGCTTTTCTCCTGCATTTCATTATGGAACTGACATTACATCTTCTCTCTGGATAAAGGGAGCACAGCAGCCTGTGATGCAAGTTATCTTGGTTACATTTGTGACTTCACCTTCATAATACTGAGGCCTGGCCTCATGTTAAAATAATCAGAGTTGGCATCTAGCCTTGATTTTGGTTGATCTGAAAAGTTTCTGTGTGTGCCAAAAACAAAACAAAACAAAACACCTCTTTTCTTAAAATTCCCAAGGCTGATTTGTGTGCTGGACTGGTCATTTCATTTGGCATACTTCACTGACCTTGACAAAGGAGACCTTCAAATACCACTAACAATCCTTAGCACTGGGCAGCTCTTCTGTGGTTCAGGATTTAGCTACTTATTCAGTTTTTGGCAAGCGTTTCTAACATGTCAGCTGAATGGATTTTCCATTCTGTGTTTTTGATGTCATAAAATCAGATTGCCCGTACCTGTGTTTTAATCCCGTAATTTCTTTTTTTTTTTTTCATATTTATAGCTGTTCCCTGTCCAGGTTTGGGTATCTGTCTGTTGCAGCTGATTCATGGACACTCTCGCTGGCCTCTGAAAGGACAGAGTGAAATTTCATAGAGCACTTTGGCATGTCGCTCGCCACCATTTCTCATATGTGAGAAATAGACTCGGGGCATAAATAATTCGTTAGGTACAGAATGTGCAGAAATATAAAGAGGAATGGCTGTTGAGATAGCGAGTCAGGAGACATAATTAGGTGTGGGCATCTGATGGAAGATTTAGGATGCCAAAAGTTTTGGAGCTGATCCGATAGTAGAGAGGAAGTCCTTGAATATGGGCAGAGTGTAATGAAAACTACATCTTAGAAGAAGAACTTGGTATAGTGTCTTAGCTAAGCTAACCTGGGAAAAAATAGGAAGCCATAATAAGTCATAATGGTAAGGACAGGTGATAATGAGGTTTTAATAAATATGTTTTTAAGATTTATCTGCTTTAGTCAAATATGATTGAAAGTAAAAATAATATTTTTTTCAATTTTTGGACGATTGGCAAGCATACAGATTTAGAGAGTCTTGTGAAAATTTAAGTAATGAGTTAAAGGTTCTACTAATTTTCATCTTTCATTGTCCATCCTAGGTTTCTTACTGCCATGCTTCTGTCTGTCTCAATTATGCAGGTCCTACCCTTAACTGAATGATTTAGAAGTAGCTGGATTTCTGTAATTATACATTTTTACTTGAAAGAGGAGTTTTAGATAACCCACAGTAATTATCTATCTATTTTAATATCTACCTACTGATTATCTATCTGCCTATCTACTTATCATCGTTCTATAGGTATAAATTATTCAACATAACACATATTTCATCTTTACCTACAGATATAAAAATTATAAAATTCTAAAATCCGTATTTTATTTAATTATACATTCTTCATCATCATTCATTTGCTCATTTAATTAATTAGCAAACATCTGTCTTCTTAGAGACTTGTAATTAACATGTGTAAAGCATTTCAGGATGACTTTGAAGGACAGATCATTATAGGTTTTGACTTTATATTTCAGATTTCCCCTTAGAGCTCACTGCTTCAGAATTCTCATTGGCAATCTCAGATAAGACAATTGCAGCCATCTATACCACCTAGGTTATACCTAGGAATTGAAATAGATTACAAACTGACTCAAAAAAAGTTAGGGTGTGTTATCTCAAGTGGTGGTGTAGTTCTATATTTTTTTCCTAGACTCAGACATATGTGTTCATTAAAGAACAGTAAAATCCAGTCTACTATTATATGTCACATCAACTCTCTAGATCTGAGCTAATCCACTAGCCACTAAATAAATATGGCTGGTCTGAATTGAGATGTACTGTATGTATAAAATATACACTGAATTTTGAAGATTAGTACAAAACAAAAAAAATGTAAAATATTTCATTAATAGTATTGATCACGTCTTAAAACACTAGTTTTGAAATATTGGGTTAAATTAAATATTAATATTATTTTACTTGTTTATTTTTATGTAGCTACTGGAAAATCTAAAATTAAACATGCAGCTCATGTATTTCTTACATGAGCTGCACGTTTTTACATTTTTATAGTCTAATCATTCTTGTAAATAGTTTCACAGATAAATAGCCTATGAAAATTCTGTTTGCCAAATTTCCTTTGGCTTTGTCCACAGTAAAATGTTACATTTGTTGGGGTCCACACCCATTCTCCCACAGTCCTACCCCAGTGACGCCCCCATTATTAGGTAAGAACAGAAGCATGTGCTTGAAATAAGTACAAATTGGTACTTCTGTGAACACCAAATAGAAAAAAAAACAACCATAGGAAGGAGAGGCAGCTGTTCCCATTTTTTAAAAAGACTCACTGATTCATTTTGAATTGTCTTGTGCTTGCTCTGTCTTGCCAGATCTGTCTCTGTTGGATGCATTGAGGATGTGGCTATCCTTGAGGACAATCCAATCTGCTAAGGGTCATGATATCTCACTAAACTTAGTGAATCTTAGGCAAGGTACATTGGTCTCCTAGTCTTGGTAGTAAAAAATCTGAGGCTCTAGAAAGCAGAAGCTTCCTCTTTCTTTCTTTCTTTTTGGACTCCAAATTTATTTCAGTTACTTTCACCTGATAAGAGATACTTGGGACCGCCAGTGCTTTGCTGGGGTAGACCAGTTGTCTACTCAGCCACCACCTCTGCCCTGACTATAGCACCGCAGCCTGATGTTGTAGGAAGGTTGGACTGACCTCGTATCATCAGTCATAAAAGGCGAGAACAGAACACTTTTATTGAATACCTACTATGTGCCAGATACTGAGGGCTATTTATACACATTTTCTCAATTAATCCTTATTCCAAGCTCATAAAAATTATGTTAATATTCCCGTTTCTCACACACACAAAACAAACAAGCGCTGTTTATCAGAGAGGGCCCCTAACTAGCAGTGATGGATCCTGGGTTTGAAACCAGCTACGTTCAAGTCCATTCATGATTTTTCATGTTACCATTTTGCTAGGAATGCATCTCCTGTTTAGTAATTACTTATCATCAATAAATGTATGATAATTAAGTCTTGTTAAAATTTATTATTTACATTTCTCCTCCCACTATAGTTAGGATAAAAAATATAAAATCTTGTCACTTCATACTGTGTCACAGCTACTTTTTAGATAACATTCCTTATAACTCACCCACACTTCATTAAATATAGACTTCATGACTGACACTGAGTTATCTTGAACCACTTCTGGTCATTTGTCAACTGTTACGTCTTTAAAAATAGTGGTTTTCACTACATGCCAGGAACAGTTTTCAACACTTTCTGTGTATCCTCTCATTTAATTATCTGCCAAACCCTACGATGCGGGTACTGTTGTTTTGAGGAAACTGATGCAGTGGAGGTTTTGACTACTAACTAGAAGAGCCAGAATCTGTGTGCCGTAAACGTCTACATGCTATAAACGTGTATGTTCTTCTGCTTCTTTCTCAGTAATGGGCTACCTTCTCTTTATGGTTCTTTCCTTAGAAACATATCCATTTATGGTCAGTTTCCATTTCCCAGGAAGACTGCTAGGACCAATCAGAGAAACACCGTGGAAGATAAACTGAATTTAAGTACCAGAAACAGGTATTTATCTTTAGTGTTTTGCTTCTTCTTTATCCATATTTTGTGAATTTATTATATATATATCCTTTATTATAGGTGTTCAATAAGAATTCAAATTCGATTCAAATTTACCTAGTCTTGACTTAAACTAGTGGTCAATTACTTTTGGCATTGCCAGTGGTTGGTATTTGCATCTGTCTCTGGGTCTGTGATTTTTTTCAGATCAAATGGCAGGGAAGAATGTGGTTTTGGAAAGACAGAATCGCCAGGCCCAGTCTCTGCCAAGTCTGAATACACCAGTGACAATGATGTGACAAGAGTCTTATTTAAACTTCTAAGATGTTTGGGTCATAAAGTCGAAAAGACCTAGAGGAAAGGAAAGTGGCAAGACATGCTGCATGTAAGCGGGAGATGGAGGCTTTTCAAGGCGAATCAGGTAAGTTGAATTTTCAGCTTTTTTTTTAGCTGAGCCATCCTGCCACCTGTTGGCAGCTCAGCGGCAGCTCAGCTCAGGCTGGGACTCGAACCGCTGTTGCTCAGAGCTCACACTCTTGAGCGAGCTCTTAACCTACTGAGCCACTCGGCCGGCCCTTCCGGCTCTTTTTAAAGACACCTTGTGTTCCATATTTGCGGACATACCTCACATAGTGTTCATTCAGTTGACTAGCCTTGCTTACTTTGAGCCGCTTCTTTTATCGCCTCTAATTCCATTGACGTAGTTGACGTTGAAAATGTGCATCAGATCTGCTGTCTTTGAGTAGAGATGTGACTTTATCCTCATAAAATGGAGCTCAGAGTTTATTAGAGGCTTTCGGTGGCATTAAGAACTTTGTTTTCCGAATGTACAGTAAATTGCACAGAAAATGACCTTTAATTTTTTTTATCTAATTCTGGAAGTAATTTCCTGTGTATTTCCCTCCATTGTTCTGAGAGTATGTAGAAAATGGGGAGGAATTTAACAGATGAAAGGATCTCATGCTTACTCTATTTCCTTAATGTTTTTGTGCTTTGAAATGTCTTGACATTACAGCCATTTCTGATTTTGAAGTGGGATGTATAAAATTTTAATGCTAATAAAATGGCCCCCTCATTTGATGTCGTTTCTGTTCTGAGTATGTGTTTGAAGAGGGTAAAGGCAAGACAGCTTAAAGTATATATTGTTCTGAAATTCAGTTGTTATGTTGATAATGGACGTCAGCCTCTAGGCGTCTGTGTTTGTCAGAGAACGGAAGGGCTAAGCACCATCAAACTATCCTTCTGGTTTTGTAGCATTTGCACTAACATTTCTCCCTCTTCCTGAGGCTCAGGTTCATTATTCAGGTTCTGTCTTCGATTCAGTTTCAGTTTTCACTACACACATTTGGGAGTGCGTATATTACCAGGCAGCTATCATCTCTCCACTTCTATGCACCTTCAGAGCGAGATCCTAGAACAAGCTTAGTTAACTGAAAACAGCAAGAATGCATCCAGTCTGTAGGGTGGATGTGCTAGGCCATCATTCGTCTAGATTCCAAAACATCAGCATGCCTGCGCAAATAGGCCAATGCATAAACAAGACACAGTAACGAAAACATTGCATTTTTACTCCTTTCCTTCCCTCCTGAGGTCTTCCACGTCACTTGTTTATTTAAAACCTTCCAATAGCTGCCCTTATTACACCTTGAAATGATCTTGTCCTTTGCCATGACCTGCAGGGCACTGTGTGACCCGGTCCCTGCTTGCCTCTCAGTACTTATCTCAGTGATCCTCCGTGTCATCCAGCTCCACACACTGGCCTCTGTCTGTTCCCTAGAAATGCTGAGCTCTTTACTGACTGGGGGTGTTGGCATTGTTTATTCCTTCTTCCCCAAATATTTCCCTTAGATCTTCTCATGCCCGAGGCCTTCTTACCATTCAGGGTTCAGTTCCAATGTTACTTTCTTAGAGAAATTTCTCTTTCCGCGCTCTTTAAAGTAACTGCCATCTCTACCCTAAGCCACGTTACCCATTTATTCCCCTCGCTTCATTCTTCTCTCCCCACTACATTCAGTTCCATGAGATCAAGAATCTTATAAATTTTGTCAATCCTTGTATTTTCAGCTTCTAGAATGCATCCTGACATATAGTAAGTGCTCAATAAATACTTGAGTGGATGCATGGGTCGCATAGTCACAACACAACTTATGCTTTATGTGGAGGCTACATGGATCAGCGTTGTGTTTGGGCAGCGTTTGTGTAAAGGTTTGAAACCGCTTTGGTCAAAGGAGACAAAAGAAGAAAAATGGCTTTCACGAAGCTGCATTCATTATGGGAATGAGTTGCTGACAGGAGTTCTTCTTGAAGAAGCAAAAATCCACAAAACAGCTCAAAGAGCAGAAAGGAGACTTCACATTCCTTATGTGAGGTGGTGGCCCCTCTGAGAATTAAAGATGAAATGTAATGAGACTAATTGCGTGAAGGAGTCTCTTGGTTTGACCGTGATCGTTCTTTGGAATCGCCTCTGCCCCACATCTATCTTACTAGGTTTCGGGAAGGGAAAGACAATTACTTGGACACAAATGCATTTTCTTCCTTTCTTACTGCTCAGCATCAGTGCTTGGGTTTGATAAATTGCCTAAACTACCTGGCTGGCTGGAAGGGAAAGTTATGTTTTTACATTTATATTAAACCCAAACCTTGTGCTTTAAAAATAAATCATCCCATCTGATGGTATTGCCTCTCTTTCATTTGTTTGCTATCGAGCATGAGTTAAAGGTTATGTGCAGAACAATCCTACGGGAGTAATTTACCGTCTCAGGTAGCAGAGAAGCCCTGTAACCAGTAGGCGTCACAGACAGAGGAGCTGTCAGCGAGCGAATTCATTGCTCCCATTCCCGGAGTCCTTTTGTTTTTAGAAGACACTAAAATGTGTTCTCTTTTCTTAGCGCGTGAGAATTTCAGAGATGTCCTGTGGCCTGTCTTTTGGCACCGTGCAATCCATATAGAAAGGACCCCTCTGCCACCTTATGATGGCATTTCGGAGGGATGGGAGTGGGCACACAGACACTACACTGAGTGACAATCACTGTGGTGTCTTAGAGCTTTTAACATTGGGTGCAGGGCATGGAATAAGGTCCCGGGGGACTCAGCATCATTTCCGTTGGGCAGTGTTTTCTCATTAGAGGCCTTCGCTGGGCAAAGGGTGTGAAGTGTGTGAGGCGTTAGGTTTGCCCCTGGCCTGGCCGGCTCAAGCTGCCATTCCCGGCTCGTGCTGCTGTCTCCAGGGCGGCTTATTTCTGCATACAGAGAAGTTCACGATGAACTTTCCTAGCCTCTTCTTCAACGTTTTGCCTTTTCCAGTCTTTCCAAGTGACTATAGTAATATATAGTCAACATCCTAGCTGTGCGACTTTTAAAATCCCTGTAATGCTTTGGACCTAAACATTATCTGCGAAGCATGGGCCGCTGAACGTGTAAGCCATGCTCATTCCTGCCTCTAAACTAGAAAGACAAAGTCACCAAAGGTACTTTTTCCACATGAGGCAACTCCTTCTGGCAAGGTAGTAGTAGTACGAATATACGGACCTATATTTTTGTCATTTTTTTTTCATTCAGAAAAAGGGTTAACTGTTTTTTGATAACCGTGGGATGAACAGCCTTTACGACATTAAAGAAGGCATTCAGGATAAAAGCATTATAAATGTAGCAAGGCTTCTATTCTGAACACAAGCCGACACTCGGATACGGCCAGCCGCAGTGGGGGCGGGGCCCACGTGGGAGCCAGCGGGTCCTCTTCATTGAGGAAGTGAGGCGATCCCCTGGAAAGAACCGGCCCCAAGGAAGCGCACCAGGAAAATCAACTTTTACCGGGAACAACTCCTTTGGCATCAGCAGAGCTTATTTTGAAGGCACTTTGCAAATTTCCGTTTGAACCCATTCCTGATGCATGGAAATATGTCTGCGTGCTAAGAATAAAAAGCACTGTAATGAAAATTAGACTTGTTTCACTAAAATATGTAACCTCTTGGGGCACAGCCTCCCCACCCCCAACTTGCCGCCACCAACAAAGTAAAATGCAGAGGGTGCATCGCCCCCTCGCCTCTTGTACCACAGCAGAAGACTTTGAGGCTTCATACACTGATGGCGTTTTCTAGTAGGAGACGGCAGAGAAGGGATTAACACCAAGCTACTCATGAGACTATGGAAAACATCTCCTGGGAATCCCTCAAATACTTGAGGGTGGTCGCAGGCGACTTTTCAAGGGGTTGAAGTTCAGCCTTGGCTGGTCGTCTCAGAGGCAGTGGGAGTTCGTTTATTACAATTAATCAGACTCCATGACAACGTTTAGACACCCAGGCTGCTGATCGATACACATGAAGCCCACATGCCAGAAACCTGGGGCTGCGAATTTAATGCAGCCAGGTATGTGTGTTCAAAGCTTTGCAACCAATAACTCCGGTGGTTGAAGAAGATTTTTAGATTCACATCATTTAAACATGAAGTTTTCAGCCAGCGGAAATGGATTCTCAGTCTTTTGAGCCATCATTGCGTGAACGATCACACCCGGAGTAGAACGGCATCGAAAATGTAGGATCACTTATGAATATACATTAGAGCAGATGGCCACAAGGAGAGCCAATTGGACCGAATAGTGAACAATACAAATTAAGAAATTCATAGTTAATTAAAGAAGATTATGGGGACTTAGAGGGGACATAAAGACCCGGGACCTTCTCAAACAGAGGATCAGCATGTTGGAGCTCTGCCACCCTCCGTCTCCAATGTGTCGAAAGGACAGTGATGCGTGGAACAGATGAAAAGCCTCCATTTACAGTGCAGCCTTCAATAACCCAAATCCCTCCATCCAACACGCTGGGACCGAGTGTCATAAATTCCTGAGTAATTTGGTCTGGGTATTCCTCTCTTTTATCCTGCTCTGTGCGTTCGGATCCCATTAACTTTTAAAAGGACTTTCATGCCCAGGCGATAATAGGCACATTTAGTGGGCACGGTGACTTCCTGTACTTTAATAGTCTCCAGCCCTGGGAAGAGCTTGCTTTACAGAATGTTAATTCTCCAGGGCTCTGCCCTTAGCAGGTCTCATTCAGTCAATATTTATAGAATGAATGCAGGAGGTTGTTCAGGGAGAAAAACAGATTCCCCTTAGATGTAAAAGTACTCTGTACGTCTATTTCAAGAGCCACCTGTAAACCCTATCCATTTTTTCCAAGATTCACCTCCAGTGAACATTGATACTTATCATCGTTTCATTCACTGCTCTGCTTAGTCGTTCAGCTAGTCCACATTTACTGAGTATCTGTGGGGTGTCAGTTGTTTTGTTTGATGCTGAGTGACAAAACATGGTTTTCATCCTCGATGGAGTCACTGTTTAGAGAGGCAACGGAACGTGTCAATAATTTACATAGTGCAACGACGGAATTACTGTAATAAAATATGGACAAATTCTAGGAG